GCAAGGGATATATTGTGGAGGCATATATGGTTGGACAGTAGATACTTACTGTAATTAGTGATTGCTGAGGAAGGTGTTTCTATGCCAGACTTTCCCTAGGAAGGGAATTAATGTGTGTGTAGAGATTGCTAAAATATAATTCTGCTCAGTGGAACTTCATCTGTAACTTGACATCGCTTTTGGTGGAAGTATTTGTGAGAATCTACAAAGAGTAAGTGATAACAGATTCAATTAAATTATTACATTTCTAATGTACAAATTAACAGGGCAGGAAGAAACTTCGATTGTGGTTCCAGTTTCATCCCATCTTCTTAATAGTATGTGCAGTAACACCACACCTTGACATTTGCAAAGTGGCATCAGATCACCCCGAGTTTGAAATGTGATTCCTAGTCCATGATTATGTAAAATTAAACTGCTGCATAAGTACATTGGGAATTTGACAGGACAACCCCTGCATCAGGAGACAAATAATTAACAACTTTATGAGTGACTTCTAATTTATTAAAAAAATTATGTAGGAGTAAGAAATAGTATCTTCAGCATTGTGCAGTCATACTTTTTGGTTTGTTGAACCTATTTCTAGGTACTATTTTGAGCATTTTTGTCAGCTGCATAGTAGCAGAATTAACAAAAAGGTATACTATAAATCACTCTTGGTGTTAGAGTTGACAGCTGTAAATAAATACAGCTGACAGCTCAAATAGCTGTTCTATTGACAGTATGTGGTCTAAATGTGTTAACAAATGTGTAGACTCAGCAGTTTGGGATTAGTTTAGCAAATAAATTACAAAATAGTGCTGTGATCCAGCAAAAAGCACAATGCCTGTGTATCCCTGGTCTGCACACTTTGTTCATACTGTAACAGGCCTTTGCAGCTCTGTGTGAAAATACAACACTGCAGCTAGATATAGGGGTCCTGCTACGAGTATCATTTGTCTCCCCTGTATTTCTTCTTAGTGTGATGTCAAGGAACGTGAGCAACTGAGTGTCATGGTGAGTAGAGATGGTTAAATAATGGATGTATTTGCTTTGCAGAATCAGAAATTTAATGAAGGAAGGTAGTAACTTTACACTAGCTTTGGTTATGATTAAGGATACAAAGTCACTGAATAACAATAAAAAAATACTTTCATGCAAAACCTGAGATGTATTGTTACTAGCATGGATCTGTAGTACATGTGAAAGAAAAGCTGGGAAGAGAGGATGAGGAAGGGGCTAGACAGTTAAAAGGATTTCAGCTCTGAAGATGAATTATAGTATTATGTTAATTATTTCCCTGCTGATCACAGCAAGAAATGAGAGAGAGAATGACATGAAGAATTATGTCATGGTTTGACATATCTAAGGCATGGTGGTTTTTATGCTTAGAGGTTGAATCAGGCCACTGTTTATTCTTTTATATTTTAATTTTAACTATTCACAGACAGGGTAACATGGCACAAGGTATTATGGGGTAAATAATGTGAACATGAAGTGGAACTCTGGACACCTGTATTTTGATGGAATCCTAAGTATTCTGGTATTTTCTAAAAACGTATTTTATAGTTGTTGCGTGTAGTGAATAATTTTAGTATACAATGTACAAGTGGTAATTCTGATAACTAGTTGAAACTTTTGTTGCAATCTGTAAGCATGATTGTCAGTAGTAGCTGATTTCTGAACGCTGCCTCTCATGTCAAATCTTTGTAGTGAATGCAGTTTTTTAGTGCAGTCCTTATTTCCATCCCATTAATAAAATACATGATTACAGAAAGTGGCTGCTCATTTCCTTCAGCGAGCACCCATATCCACATGTTAAATGATAGTTAAATATGGGAAATATCTTTAGTTTTCCTTTCCTTGTCAGTCAATAAAGCCCTGCCCAGGAGCTTTCTCAATTACAAGTCCCTACTTGAAACAATTGGAATTCTGCATACCATGTCTCTAGCAGGAGGTTTACTGATGGCATTTTGTTTCAGGCCATGGAGCAGACAGGTATCTCTGTCAGTGAGTAAATCCAGTTTCAGTTATCACTATCATGTGTTTTACAAAAGCATTCAAAAGTATGATTTAGCATTTCAAGGATTCCAGGGAAGTGGTAACTTGTTTTAACTTCAAAAATTTCTTCCACTTCAGAAATCCTACAAGTCAACAAGTTTTCCTTTACTTAAAATGTTCTCCCACAGAGAATAGTAATCTACTGGAGTTGCTGCTGTACTATTAGGGTTTTTAAAGGTACTTTTTTCCTGATGGAAATGCATAGAAAGATTCCTTTAACTGCAATACTTTGGATGTTAGAGAGATCTCAGAATATCTCAAGTAGAGTAAGTGGGTTGTATTTTTTCTGTTTGGTGCTGTAGTGTGCAACTTATATACAATAATAAGCTATAAACAAACAATTGAGACATGTTTTGAATTAGTAATGATGAACAAGATTTTTCTGAAGCCTTTATATACAAACTAGTTAAAAGGATACGTGTCAGGCCAAGAAGTGCTTCCCTAGTCTTTTTGTTCCTTGCCTCTTGATTGAGCCTAAGTACGTTTTGTAGTTCACATGTTTTACAGGAACTTCAGATGTAGGCAGCTGTGATATATTCTTCTTTCTGGGAAATGAAGAAAGTTCTAATTTCACTCACAAATTTGTTGTGGGCCAGGGCACTGCACGAATCTTCTGTCCATCCTCTGTCCAGTGACCTGCTCCAGCAACGTGTTGCATCTTAGTGGAGAATAAAAGAATTTGTACTTTGCCTCTGGGTTTCTTTGTCTAGGTCCACGGTGCAAAGGCTGAGACATTGAGAGGAGCTAGAGTTCGGAGTGCAACAGCAACTGGAAAGTTCTTTATTTTACATGCATTTGCTTGCCTGACGTAATATGATTAGTCAAGGTCAGGACACTTAATTGTCAGTGGAACGGAGAACGATTTGTTTGTTACTTACATGTGAACTAGGCCAAGACCCTTCTGTCATCAGACTGGTTTCATTGCCAAGAACACACTTTATTTCTTGTGAATATCCTGTGACATCCATCCTATGCTATAAGAATCTCCATGGTTTGGATCCTCATGGGTCAGATCCTCAGCTTGTGTAGCTGAGTAGCCCTGTTTAAGTCATTGATACTCTAGTGATTTATGCCAGGTGAGCATATTTCATAATGTTAAGAAATATTAAAATTCAATGTTCATTTTTTATCAGTTTATATTATTTTGGCACAATAAAAGGAAAAATGTGATGACCATATTAAATTCTCAGGTGTGCTGGGTATACCAGCTTACAAACAACTTGTACGCCAAATTAAGCTGCTTGAAAACATTTTGAAATGGGACAAAAATTCTGTTTTCAACCATCATCTGTTAAGAATTGTAGATTAATATATACATGTCTTTTTAAAAGGCAGTAGATGTTTCTTGGATGGTTCTCCAGTACTTGGCTCCCAAAAGAGTTGATGGCTGCAGAAAAGACATAGAGGTGAATATTCAGGGATGAATCATTATAGAATTTGTATTGGTGCAGCTGTCTAGGGTGTCTTGGAGGATGGCACTCCATGAACTTTTTTTCACACTGAGTAAAGAAGAAATTTAATTTATTTAACTGCTTTTGCTTCGATGATGTACATGTTTGAGGCCAACAGGAATTTTTCAATTGCTGTTTTGTTTGTTAGGTTTGCAAAATACGAGCTGGGAGAGAGAAAAGGGCCTAGCATATCAAAGCATTAGCCCTATGGACTCTGTGACTTTATTGCTCTGAAAGATATATAGCCCTTCTTGCAAGCTCGTTCAGATTCTTTAGTCTCTTTCCCAGCAATAGCTGGTTATCTCATAAACAATTCAGCTCTGATTTTGGTGTTTTTCTGCACAATTACCAGTATTTATAGAGACTTTTGAAAAGAAAAAAAATGCAGCTAATTTTGAATGTAGTCATTTGCAGCAAAGGAAGAAATGCATTGGAACTGCAGTGACTAAACCATTCACTTTGCTGAAAAGGCTTCTGTTGTGTTCCAGGGACTCCTACAAGCTGCATGTGTGTGAACTGCAGTATATAGCCCTTGTTAATGTTGAGAAAGCAAGTGAATATATAAATACTCCATCAGAGCATGTGAACATCTCTCTTTTCTAATGATTGAATTGTTTGTTCATAAAAAGACATTTCTTTGGCATCCGCAGGATGGATGCTTTTGCGAAGGACATTTTTAATACAGCAGACATAGCCTGGAAATACCAGGTAGAGTATGATGGAGCTTTCTCAACATGCATTTCTACAAATTCTTCCTCCACACTTTTAGTCCTCCCTATTGAGAAAGCTAGAAAATACCACCAAGAAGATATCTTTTAATTCCCCTCTGTTTTTTAAAGCCACAGTTATCTGAAACCTCAAGTCCACAAAGGCTTTCCTTTCATTTCTTTCTGCAGGAAAGCATGTGGTTTTTACTTGTTCTCTTAATTGGCTGATGTAAAAAGAGCAGTCTGAAACTTGACATTCTCATGCAGAAACCACTTCTTAAGCAAAAATGTATGACTGCTTTTCACTTGGAAGTCAGTGAGAGATTTTATGCTCACCTACCTCACAACTATATCTGAGCTCCTAGTCTTTGATGAAGATCTGAGTGTTTTGAGAACTTCAAACTTAATCCAGAAGGCCTATTGTAAACAGAACTTCCACTGATTTCAAAAGATGTTCCATACGTGAAGGTCTGATAAGATCAAGATCTTGGAGGGATTAACACTTTTAGTTTAAGAATTCACACGTTTCAGTTTAGCAGTCAGAAAAACAGACACAAGCTACTGTATATGATTAATTTTTATTGGATATTTTTAAGGGAAGTGTCTGCTAAAGTGGAGTTCAAAACATGGTAAGTGGTCCACACAATGAAAGAAATCATTAATCAGTGTTTCATTATGTTGCTAAGGCAATGAAAAAATAACAGACACTGTCAAGATAAATAAGGGACTCCTGATTTTCAAGGTTTTGGAGTGTCTCATGCAGATTCATCCCAATTCTATCTTGTTTGGTCCTTTTTAACCTCTAAGACTGCACCATTTCCTGGAATTCTGCGAAAGATAAGAGAATATTTACAGCAGAACTATTAAAATGGAAGTATTAGGAGTAAAAGATTAGTGGCTTATAAAGAGATTTAGAATAGGAATGAACAGACAACAATTACCTGATAGATGACCAGAGGAGAAGAAACATGTGGAAGAGAGACATTGTCTAAACTTCCTCTTCTAAACAACAGATGGAAAGCCAGTGTTTTGCTGACATTCATAAGGAATAATAAAATGTTCAAGGTAGTTTTAGCCTTCTCTCTGCATAATACTGATCTTGCGCAAAAATAATGGAATGGCTAATATGGAATTTGAGTTAGAAGAAGTTAAGAGCTGAAGTAAAAGAATGAAAAGTGAGTCCTTGTGTCTTATTAGCTGTTTGTAATGCTTCAGCAGTTGAGAAGTGTTGATTTAGAGCACCATCTAAAGCCAAAAACATTGTGCAGTTCCATGTGGTATGGTGCTGAAGTATTGTGTTGTACAATAAGATATTGTTATCTGGAAGATCTTTTAAATGTTTGGCTTCTGTGAGTTAGAGTATCTGATCAGTCCTGTCCCTGAACAACTGTATTGGTATATAGATTGCCTCATAAATCATGTGTGTTTATTCTGGCACATTTCCTAAGGAACTGGATTTAATTCCTTCCAAAGAAAGAAACAGAAGCGTTCTGTCCTCCTAGTGCAGTGAGCTAGCGAATCTGCACACCAGCACATTCCCTGCGTGCTGTTCCCTAAGCCCCTTTCATGCTCGTCTAGGCAGCTTGCTTCTCTCATGGGGCAAGTTGCCATTGGCGGCAAACCTTTTGTGTGAGTGTGAGCTTCCTGTTCAAAATGGGACGCAGAAATACGGAATTACGAGATCAGGAGGTTTCTGCACTGAGCAGCCATTAAATCACACTGGCATTTCCATGGGGTGAGTGCAATGTGCTGCTTTCTAAAACAGCTGTTCCTTCCTGTCTGGTCCTTAACCTGCCACTGGAGATAAATAGCATCCATCCCCATGCACAGAGCCTGTTGTGGGATCTCGTGTCAGGGTAGTGACACTGGATCATTCTATTCTCCTTATTATGCAAAACAAATATTGAAGTACGTGCTACTAGCTCTTGCATATTGTGAATGATTTCACTGACTAGTGGAATTTCTGTTGGGAGATAACTGCTGTAAATGAGCTGATGTATGTGCTGTTGATTCTCCTGTGTAGAGCTGGTTCTTTTGTCCTTGATTTTACGTTTGTGTATTACAAGTGATGCTAGTGCTGCTTTACATCAGAGTAAGTGGGAAGAGAAATAAGGGGCGGTTCCTTTCAAAACAGCTGGAAATTTGTGAGTGAGTGGCAATGAGAAAGTTCCTTATGGCAGCCTAGGTGAGTTTTTTTGACTTGCTCGTGCAAAAGGAGTTGCAGAGATGAACCTGTGAGATCAAGGACCATTTCCGCCCTTAAACAGGTTGCTACTGCAAGGGTTTCAATAAAATTGCTGGAGGTACATTAATGTACCATCAACATAAAAGAGAATTACACATAATTTACAACACATCCTGAGGAGCCTTATTCTGTATGTAAATGAGTGAATACCTTCAGCCCCAATTTTACCATCCCCATCATGATCTGCAGCTGCCAAGAAGGTCTTGGTTTCTGAGGTGGTTAGCACTCTGGCTCCACACTCAAACCTCTGAAGGAAATACCTAGGAAGAAAACAACTTTAATTATGATTTTCACAGAATATTATTCTTTTATGCTGGCTGTGTAATCAAACTGATAGCTATCTATAAATAAATTATTTACCACAATAGCCAAGTTCTCCAAACACTGCTTTGTTTGACAAGCTAAATCTTAGTCATATACGCTTCTGCTTTGTAAGTCCAGCCCTGATACAATTGGTTCTGCCCACTACCAAAATCTAGCGCCAGGGAGTTATTTTTTTTCTATATTGAGCATTAAAGGCAAGTATTTACTAATTTGTTTTTCTCTGTAGGGATTATCTACTTAAATACACCTTTCACAATCTGCTGAAGGTTTTATCAATGTTTCGCATAACTTGTGCTCACATTTACAGAACAGTTCTGGAGAGAAAAAAGTTCTGATTTTTGGATAGCCTCTAAATAGTTAACACAGAAAATCCTTACTTGAGCTCATCTTCCTCAATAAAGCCACTTTGATCATTGTCGAGAATCCGGAAGATCTCCTTGAGCTGGCTGCTACTCTTCTTAGACATCCCACTGATCTGAAAGAATTTTTTGGGACTAAAGGAATCTGGAGCTGAAAATAAATTAATAAATACATTAACCCCAGACCACTGCGTTCACTGTTCCTAAATGGTCTGAGGATGCTGCTTTGTTACATTTTAATTGTTCTAAACATGGATGATAGATAAAGCCTGTCAAAGAATGGATTTTGCCATACTGCACCATACACTCGTAAACATCAGAAGAAATCACATGGGGATAATTTACAAACTGACAATATAAACCAGTCATGAACAAATATACTGTGACAGCTAAGTAAAGAGGTTACAGAAATCTGTTTACAGTATGCGCTTGTTCAGTATTCCTTTGGGACCGACATAAACTTGCCATGTGTAACACAAAATAATAGATTTTTAGAGTTTTAATTGTTTTCTCACCTTGGCAGTCCCGCAGAGCAGCAGCAATATCAGAAGGGCTTAGAATGTCTGTAAGGCTCATTTTAAACCTGTGCAAAATAGTATATTGCAAACAGATTTGTGAAATGCAAGTGCGTCTTACAACAAATTTTTTTTTTTTCTGTGTTTTGAAGAATACTATATGGCTAACAAGACTTCTAAGGGTAGATGAATCTAATTGATCAAACCGACATCGCTGCTATTCCTCAACAAATTAGAAGATTTACTACATTACTTCCTTAAAAATAGCAGTGCTGCAATAATACTTTTTAATGAGATGGATTAAGTAAATGATGTTGTGAGTTGATGATCAATTTTTTATCATTTACCTGCATGCTATTTAAGTACACTGCATTCTTAAACTCTATGTAACCGTTAATCTAATAATTAGTCTTACTGGAATGCATGGCATCTGTCAATACAAATAACAGTATATGCAGTGGAAAAAAGAAAATCAAGAACGTTTGCTTCTGTTTTCTCCCCCAACAGCTCTGAAGAATGAAAAGAAAACTGATACTTATCCATATAAGGTCCATCCATAGGTAATTCCAGCAATTAAAATAAAAATCTTATAACAACGGTTATTGTACTTACTACTGGTGCAGCTCTGCACAGTAATTTAATTTAATTAATCTCAAGTCAGCTGCTCACCTTTATAGTTTTCTCAGCTAGGTAAAGGAAAAATAGCTGAGGAGATACCAGGCAAAATAGAAATGTTGGCTCTGGCTTGCCACTCTGGCTTATAAAGGATTCAAAAGGTGACAATAACCACTACTTAGGTTACTGTTTCGTGGATCAAATGTTCGATTTGAGACCTAGCTCAAATTTCTTCCTTAACTAATTAAACTTTTCTTTCTATTTATATCCTAAGATAATATGGACCAGATGAACAGTTTTTTTTAATAAATCCACTTGTGCTTAATTAAGTACACCTCTGCCATCAAAACATAGGCTTTCAATCTCCAAGTATGCTAAAGATTTTCAGTTAACCTCTGCGCCTTAAAGTCGCTCATCAGAAGATGACTCCAGCAGTCAAATCCTTATGAAAAGGAGCTAGCTTGATTTCCCTAAGTCTGTTGATCCTTTGGAATGTATAAAGGAAGTTAGAGATGAAAGATCAGAGGTGACAATGTGTCATTCTGACAAAGGTAACTTGTCACTAGGATAGAGGAAAGCATGCTGTAGTTTGGGGTGGTCTTTCTGCAGTAACCTTCATTTCGTATTTCCTGACCATTTTCTAAATTACAGTGCTGTCCCTAATCGGGGGTAGAACAGAAACCAATGCCTTCAGTGAGAGCAAAACTCTGAAACTAGGTAAAGCTGAATAAGCTAATCTTGTCTGTATTGCTTGGAAGATTATGTATAATCAGATGGCCTACTTAGTAGTCTATTTTGAATATTTTAAATTACATTAAATCAGTAATAGACTTACTTACTTGAAGTTGTAGGAATCAGACTTTGTTAGTGTGAAGACATATTTATATACATTTTACAACACATGCTCTCACAATCTATTTCCTTAATATGAAATTAAAATTGTAGGTATAAATAAGTGGGGGTTTATTGTATGTTACAAGAGCATTAATTTTGGAAAAAAAGCTTAAGAAAGCTGGGAACAGCAGATATGACATTCTCCCCCTCAGACAAAAATCTATTTCCATCTTTAAGGGGGTTTATATGGACAAAATTCTAGGATGAAGACCAATAACAAACGTGTATTTTGGTTAGAGTTTATTGTATAACAGTCTATTATGGTATCTAAAGTAATGTTCTCCTAATACATGAGCATTGTTTTATTTTTTTAATGAATGGAAATAGCATGGTATGCTGAACAAGTAATATTTTTTATACTAGCAAAAGTCACAAATTATGCTGTGGAATAGAGTAGTAATATCTCTAAGCCTTGGTGTAAGTTAATGGACTACAGTGGGTTTACTCCTGATTGGTTTAATGACAGTGAGAAAAGTATCAAGCATAGCAATTGTTCCATAGCACCTGTTTGTCTGAATTTGGATAGAGAAATACAAGGTATAATTAACACGAAAAAGCAGATGTCATTTAATGATACTTTTACCTTTTTTGCTATCTCTTTTTTATGCAAAACAAGGTGGCATAAATCACAAATAGTCAGACTTACCTTTAATCCCAAATGTCACCTGTCTAGTAATGAAAGAATGCTCTCTTCTATCTCTTTAAGTAGGAAAACCGTTTATAGTAATCTGGAAGAACACTGTCCTATTAAACCTAAGAACCGTGGGCTGTTGTAAATGAGTATTGCCTCGTTAAAACAAATTGAACAATGCCAATTTGTTGAAGACCTGATCTCAGGTCTTTTGGTGTTCTTTCCATTTATCTTTTTCGTTCAGTACTATATATTCATATTGCTTTCTGTCTGAGATTTGCATGGTACTATGATCTATCAGACGGTGGCAGTGGGAATGAAGTGCATACTGTGCTTTCTACAGAATCATCCTGAAATAGCTTTCATCCTTGTAGATACCTTTTTGCACTCTGTTGTGAATTTTCTCCTTTGTGATCGTCTCAAGTTGATATGAGTTTCAACAGAAGGTTTTTTTACTGATTCCTCTTGACATTTTTACGGCCAAGATGTTTCTAGATAAAAGGTTTTTTTTAGACCTCTGTGACAGTGCCATAGATGTTACTTTATAGTAGGCTTCCTTTATTTCTGCTTGCTCCTACACACTGCTCATTGAACTGCGTGCTTTGTTTAAATTTTTGGCTTGACATACAACACTAATTATCGAAAGCTAATGAGAGTGAGGAGATGGACATAAAGTAGAGGAAAATGATGAGATCAAGGTGAGCGTATAACACTCAAGCTCAAAATATGTCTGCAAATAATTCAGGCATTATATTAAAATATAAGTACCAAATGCTCAGTGAATGGCATCTGATTACCTCATACACTCTGCCATGGCACTCAGGGTGCTGAACTGTTTTTACATGTATTCAACAGTAGTAAAGTAGCCAGAATTAGTATTATATTAAAATACGATCTCAAATAAAAGTGAGCTAATTGCTACAGTAAGTTCACTATTATTGCTTACAAAAGGATCTTTTAATGTTTGAAATTCAACACTGACAACAAAAGTGATGCTAATCCTGGCTGAAAGATGGTTTACAAAAGCCTAAAAGAGCTGAATTTCAGAATCAAGTTGATGTCACTGTATATTGATACAGGTGGGAATCTAGGGTTACTGGTTTTTATTTATTTATTAATGACACTTCATCTGAAGTACAGGTTTCCCTCCACTACAATTAGAATGAAATAATCAGGGATGAGCATATTACATAAAGGGATGTTTTAATTAGATAATCTATTTTACAGCTAAATTATCTGCCTGTTTTCCTTACTTCTGGGGTATGTATTAGCTTAGGTGATTGTAATCACTTTAGGGGTTCAAAACCTGAGATCTATGAAAGACATTTTCTAAAAGATATTATGCAAGCAGTGTAATGCTATAAAGAAAATACGTAATAATTCAACCAGAACAACAGCTGCTAGGTAAGGGGCAGTTAAGAATAGTGCAAAATCTGGTACAGAATCTGAGTATTGCACAGTTTCCAGGAATGTTTAACACTTGTTCCTATGGAATTCAAGAAAAAATGTTAAATTGTTTGTTTGTTTGTTTTTGGTTTTTCGTTCTATTAGGAACATCTGAAAGTGCTATTGAGTTGTTCCTCGAAGATTTATGTACTTGTATAGCTTTACTTCTGTTGTTTTCCCCCGAGGTGTCTTTACGCGCAGTATATACAGGAATATTAAAGCCGTTTTTTTTTTTTGGTTTCAGACTTCCAGAATTAAACTTGAAGGTGTAGTTCTGAGAAATACAGCACATTCATATTGATAAGTTCTTGCTAGTAATCTAAACATATAAACCAACTGTTTTCAAATCAAGTACCATTCACTTCTCTAATAAGCAGAGGAAAGTTGCGTTTTGGTAAATGATTGACAGGTTGTGGACTAGTCTTGTACTCTTTGTGTTCTGTTTGGTATAAAGTACAGAGTTAATTAGCAGTGGCAACCAACCAAAGACATGACTTCAAGCAGATGCAAAAGAAACATCAGCAGTTGTCTCAGGTGAGATCAGAGGAGAGGTGTTAACCTGAGACCAACTACAATAGTGTAAAGAGATGCTGTAGCAGCTGTTCTAAAACCCATACGACTCCATCTTTCAGCCCTGGTTGTGTTAGGGCCAGAACAATTGTATCATGATCCTGGATAACAGATCCTGCCTTTGTAATGAGTTTGGAAGTAACTAAAATAGATACTCAGTAACCTATGTGGTTGATCATTAATGTTGATGTCTCAATGGTGATGGCAGAGAATCTTAGTGTGAATATACCTGAAAAGGGCCTTTACAACAAAATGAGTTATATCTGGCCACTTCAAGTTGTCTCTTAAGGCTTTAATAATATAGAAATAATTACAGGGTCCGATTTGAATGGTTGCTTGGGCCATAGTCTTTTACCATATTTAACAGAGAAGTTTAAGAACATGGTTTAGTATTGGACTTTTTTGGTACCGTGCATTATTACAATGAAGGATGAAATCCAGGCCTTGGAAGCCTCAGTGACAAACCTTTCTTTCCCTGCAGCAAGTAGAGGATATTACCCAGAGCACTAAGCAAAGATCTGGACTGTAGAATCCAAGATACATCCTGTAGCACAGTGGGTCTGGAGCTAAACAAAGACAGGTATTTCTCTCACGTTGGGAGAAATGTCTTGTGTAGTTTCCCTCGTTTAAATTACATTCTTATAATTCTGTGTAAATGAGATTGATTTCTGTTTGAAAATGATAGCAGAATAGACTAACATAACTGATAAATAGTGTGACTAACTCATAGAGATTGTTCTAATCAGGATATTTTTTCACTTAAAAAGCTGTCCTCGAAGATCCCTGCTAGCATTTGATATGTTAGGTGTTTGTCTTTAAATGCACTTGCAAGTGCTTCTGTGACTCAGTAACACAATTTTATGTCTCTGACCCTAAATGTAATTGTCTAAGATGTTTCTGTCTGCTGTCAGCATCA